TGTATTGGACCAAACATGCTCATGCATAAAACTGATAGAAAGAAAAGGTTACTTGAAGTACCTAGGAATATACATAGATGAAAATCTTACATGGAAAGAGCATATTACATATGTTACTAATAAAGTACGAAAATTGATATTTAAGTTTTATGAATTGAGACACATCCTTACTCTGGATACTCTGAGGACAGTATACTATGCCCTGGTCGAGTCAGTATTGAACTATGGTTTGGTTGTTTGGGGTGGTGCAGGGGTGACAATCTTAAACAAGCTTCGAGTAGCACAAAAATACATTATAAAAATCATGTTATTTAAAAATAGAAGATATCCAACAGAACTAGTATTTAGTGAAAGTGGCTTGTTTGATATACGACAGCTTCACTTAAAATCAATAGTGAGGTTTATGTTAAAGGTGCCTTATTACAAAGAAGCTATTAATCATGGAATAAACACGAAAAATGCTGCCCAAAAAGGTGTCACCAGAAAAACCCCCAAGCATATCCCCAGTCTACCAATTAGCATAAGAACTCAACCCTATAACAAGTGTAAAAAAGAAATAAAACTATGGATACTTCGAAGTGACTTTCACATTGAATATCAAATTTAGATTAATAACAATAACAAATTCAACTCGTTAAAAAATTCTATTCTTGCTTTATGTAATAACATCATTAGTGTCTTTTGTAAGTTTTGTGTTTTTGTATTAGGGTATTTTTTCATATGATTTGTGATTTATATAATTTTTTTATTTTTTTTAAATTTATACAACCTCGGGTGATATTCTTTAGAGTATAAGGGTGCACACACGGTACTATAAGTAGGTACTATCGTGCACTAAAGTAGCTTAAGTAGGTCTTAATTATGGGTAAGGGAAAACTATATCTATTGTAATTTACAACAGAGTTTATTATTTTTAACTTATTGCTTTTGTAATTTGTATCTTTGCTACTACCAATAAAACTTTCAAAACTTTCAGTATAATACAGAAAACTATTACATATTATACTAGTAAACATAAACAGAAATATATAATGTACCTGAGCTCAGGCCTAAACTTGACAGATACGTATAATATTAAGAAAAATAAATAAATTCTAAATTTCAAAGTATATTTTTCTTCATTCGAAAGAAACAACATTCAGTTTCAATTTGAAATAATTGAATTTTGCAACACTTAGAGCTTTTGTGAAAATATCTGCTGTTTGCTCTGTCGTAAAAATATATGACAAATTTATTTAATTTTCATCGATGCAGTCTCGTATGAAGTGGTGTCTCACATCTATATGCTTTGTTTTTTTTATTTCGAGTGTGTTTGCCATCTTTATACAAGACTGGTTATCTTGGAATACATACACAGAAAAATCGAGGAAACATCATTTTTATTTAAAATTTCTGTCAACAATTGCGCAATAAACAAACATTCAGTTACACAACTTGACAGAGCAATGTATTCAGCTCCTGCGCTTGATAGGGGAACTGTTGTTTCTTTTCTGCTTTTCCAACAAATCTCAAAACCAGAATTGCTTTTTCTGTCATTGACATTGTTTACAAAATCAGCATCAACATAAGCTGAGACAATTCCACTGTTGAAAATAAGCTTTGATTCTACGTACTTTGGTACATAATTTTCTGTAAGTTTTAAATATCTCAAAATATTTGTTATATATTTCCAATTATCATTGTTGTAAAAATTCTGAAATTGACTAGAGTATGTTACTGCAAAACTCAGATCAAGTCTGCTTGCCAACATAATATACATTAAGTTGCCTATGAGTTCTCTATAGGGTTAATTCTCATTACAAGAGCTGCCATTAAGTTAACATAGTTGAGGCTGAACAAGAATACTTGATACTTTGCGATCAAACATATTAAACCTTTTCAATATTTTTGATTTATAAACTAAGAATTGTCAGTTTCAATAATTTTCATGCCAAGAAATTTTGAGACAACATTATTTGACACATTAGGAGTTAAATATTTCATTTCAAATTTGGACACCAACATCCAACTTAACTTTATAGTCATGCAATTTTGTTTAGGATTTGTAAAATAAAATCAGATCATCAAAATGAAATATTAAATAGACCTCATTTTCAAAATATAGACAAGGGTCTGATTTTGATCTTTCACATTCAATTTCGATTAAAGGTAAATGCAATTTTCCATACCAACATTTGGGTGCTTGTCGGAGTCCATAAAATGCCTTTTTCAATTTGCATCCGGTATCTTCATATACACTTCGTCTTTCGATTTAACGCGCAACGAACAAAAATGAAATTTTCAACATTCTCGCCACTGGTGCATTCACATCATCGTCTATGTCATGTTGTATACATCCTCGATCCACTAGTCTTGCCTTCTTCACCACTGTGCTTTCTATATTTTTATCCTTGAATAGTCACTTAGAGTCTATCGCATTTTCGTTTTATGGAGTTTTCACGATTTCTCATGTTTGATATTATTTCAAAGTGTTCAGTCTCTATAGTATAAGTTCCGAGCTGACAATGCAGTCATTAAGCTTTCGTCAAAGTCCAGTTCATAATCATCAAATCATTTTGGTTTTGTTATATTTCTGGATATTATCTCATCATTCTTATCCTTTTCTATAGGTGTAGCATTAGCTTTTACATTGATTCTAACTGTTCCTTGTTAAACTCTTCATTTGGACTCATATTATCGCTCTCATTGTCTACTATTTTGTTTCCTTTTCATCTCATCAAAAATAATATTTCGAGCTGTTATTATTTTTTGCTCTTCAAAATCTCACACTCGATTACCATTATCATTGTAACCCCCACACCCCAGTGGCGGTTCGCCCATATGGGCAAGGTGGGCACCCTGGAGAGAAAATGGAAAAATAAAAAATACCTTTAATCAAAGATAATCCTACTTCGGAGTAGGATTATCTTTGCTTTAATACAATATTTGAAAAGGCCGCGACCTTGAAAATCTAAAAAAAAATTGCCCATGGCTGTTTTTTATTTTTGTCGCCCACCCTTACTTGGACACCACGAGCCGCCACTGCCACACCCATTTTCTTACCAGAAACATCGAGTTTTCCATCTCTCTCCCCCATTTCATTCAAGTTTGGTTTCTCTTTATACCAAATTTTAACTGGTGTTATATTATTTTTCAAAACAGTTGACCAATATTCTATTAATGAGATACATAGCCCATCGTACAGCTTCACTCCAAAATAGTTTATCTAAGCCAGCATCATATAACAAGCATCGTGCCTTTTCTATAATTGTTCGATCGAATATATACATTTTGAATTTGTCCAGCACTTGACTTTTATGTTGAAGACAAAATCACACTGTAAAATGCAAAAAATGGTCAATAAAAGTTACATAGTACCTTTTTCCGTCATAAGGATTCAGCGTTATAGGTCCACACACATCTGACGAGACAACTTCTAGTATTCGTTTGGGTTTACTTTCATCTACAAGCATCTCTTAAGGTAATTTGGACTGTTTGCCTTGGAGACATGTTTCAAAAAGATTTTTACTCCGGTATCTATACGAATGTCCTATTCTTCTGTGCCATAAAACTTGATCATTTGCACGGATCTCACAGGCATGTGCTACAAACATGTTAACATTGAAATTTAGAATGTAAAGATTACCTTGCAAAACTTTGACTTAATTCTTCTTGAACACACTCTTAGTACTTTTTCTCGTATTTTCTTCACAGATAGCAGGTTGTGTAACAAATCTTCACATTCTATGACATTTTCTTCAAGCATACTTTTTCCATTTTCAACATATAAATGTAGATTCCCTTGCTTCTCTCCAATTATCACTTCTCCAACATCAGTTGAATATTTTCCAGCCCTTTTATCCACCAGGTGATTGCTCGCTCCACTGTCAACAACAAAAGTCACCAAACTGTTAAACTTTGATAATGCCACAGCTTCAATAGTTGAATTGAAGGACACATCTTCTTCGTGTTGCTCCGAGTGTTCCTCAGCCAAGTTACATCTGTTTTTACTCATATCTTCTTTTCTTTGAAGGCATTACAGCAAGCAGCACTGAAATCACTCCACTCTCTTTAATAGAACCACCACAGTTTTTCAGTTCAGAAACAGTCCTTCTATATTCCATGAGAAAGTTATTTAAGGGCTCTTTCCCAGAAAACTTTAAGTTTTTCAATTTCCGCTGCAAGTGAAATTGACTCGCAACACCTGTTTTCATTATATGTGCCTCTTATTGCTTCCATTATTTCTCTGGCTGTTGATTTTCTTTTTATCATTTCCAGAACGTTATCAGATAAGCAGTTTAGGTATTAGTAAATGTCTTGCCTTTGTATCTTTTTTTTTTTTTTAATTCAACATTTCACCTGATTCTATCGATTCTTAACCAGGGTGGTCTATAGTCTATACTCATCATTTCCAGTATATCTTGGTGCTCTAACAACAGTTTGACTCTAAATTCCCCGTTAGAGTAACTATTTCCATCAAATCTTTATTACATATTGTGAGGCCGCCATTTCAAAAATGTCCTTGGGTTCCTGTCAGCTGTTTCTTCACCGACCGCCAATAATTCTAATTTAGATTTTCCTTTGCCTATTTTTCACTGCTTTTCTTACGGGGTTCAAGCACTGGGCCCATAACCTGTAAATCTTCCAGTTCACTGTTCCAAATAAACAACATAGAAATACTTTTATGGGTTTAATTATTCATAAAGATAAACCATCGGCTTTTTCTACTACAAAAATTATACGAACAAGAACAACCAACAACGCGACTGACTGAATGACGTATATCTACGTGACAACGCACATTTGTCAAAAGTTCCTCATTTATCTATTATCGAACTTATTCCATTTGGCTGATACACACTGTATACATAACCTCATTTGCACAATACAAATTAGTTTCTACGAAAATCCCCGGAAACTTGGCATTTATTGTTAAAGTGATATCCAATAATTACTTAAAATTAGATTTTGATTTGAAACATTTCGGGAACGTTTTTTTTTTTAGAGGAAAAGAATCTTACCTTCATAGGTTGACTACTAAACTTATTCGGATCAGGTGATAGGTCAGCAATGAGATTGAACAGATTCAACGGCAGCCAGCTAATACAAAAAATAATGGCAATGGACCCTAGTAAAAGATTGGTTTTTTGTAATCGCCTGCCCCTTAATTGTCTTCGACTTTTCTGAAGGTTATCTTCAGTGCTTACGAATCCTGCTTGAAATCTGTATCGGAGTTTGTAGGAGATTCTGTAATAGGCAGCCTGGAACAAAGATTTTCCATTAATATGAAATACAATATGCCTTTTGTATGCAAACTACTAAGTTTGCATGCTAAATGAAATTGGTTATATAAAATTGATACAACGAAACTTGGTTTGGGATTCAGAAATTGTATAAAGTTTTCTTTTGATTGAAAAACTTTGATGCTGTTTTCCCTGTATATTTGAAATTAACTACAACAAAGATCTAAGCTGGTATTACGCCGCAAATAAAGTCTATGACTGTCTGGCCAATTTGCATACAAATTATTTTCAGCGCTCACTTTCCTAATGGCCAAACTACAATCGCATGTCCATTGTTATTCATGACATTGGAAGTTTCACAACATTATAATTCAACCTAAGTTTCCTATATTGACATGAGTTATGGCCAAGAGTAGGTAGTACGAACATTAATCATTCTTGTTGGCTTCGTGTAGGAACGAAAGGATAAGTGTCATCCATTTTAAATTGAGATGCTGTATCTCAGGGTTTTTTATGCCAAGAATTTGAATTATAATTTTATCATTTCTAGGCTTTCGGTGCTGAAAAAATTTTGAAGCATTGATTGGTGAGAATCGATTATTTTGACACATTCTTTTATCTGTTCTTTCCAAATGTGTAACTTACGTGATATGACCTGAATCTAGTACGATGTGAATAAGTGAATAATCACTACAAATCTACAATGAGTTTACAAATAGGATTTTTTTTTTAAATTCATCTGGGGCACCAAGGTTCACACTGCTACTGAATTTAATGTACAATTGTTGTTGCCCTCAAGGATAACTAATTAAAAGTCTCGCACCGGCCGGCGCCGGCGTTAAAACACATATTTTTTTTCCTTGCTCTCCGGAATAGATTCCACAAAGTTGAACAAATAATTTGTATGCAAAAGCTAGTATATAAGTTTAATGATTCTTTGCTGTTTATTTGAATTTAGACACATCCTATCTGAATTGGAAAATTCAAATTTTATTTTTAACCATCCTTCAAATAAAAACGACATCTTTATGATAACTTACCGAAACAATAATAATCGGCAAAGTATACTGGAATATCAGCGAGAATATAGAGTAATACGCCCTCCCATGCTCCACTGGCCAGTTTTCTATGCAAAAATCCAAGCTTAGAACACCATTATTGCCCATTCCTGGTAGATCATGGTGTGTCAAATGTCTGACAATAAACAGTGGCATCGCTAGCACTAGTGCCACTATCCATATTAGTAACAGAATGAGGGCTGCTCCAAATATTTGTAAGCTCTCTTTGGTAGGATATACAATGACCTATAACAAAGAAAATACTGCTTTAAAGAATGAGAAGGCTTTTAATTTGACATGTAAAGTTTCTTTAATTAATGTGTCTACAGGGAGCTTTAACGATTGAAGTAAATCCATATTGTGGGCAATATTATCAGCATCCTCGAATACAAGCTATGATAAATTTTAGTCTTTATGCCAATTTTACTGGCATTCGATTCGATTCGGATTATCTGCACCTGGAGGGTGACTTTCGATTTTCAACACTCTATCACTTTCTTTCCTTTATTCCTATCCTACCTTTCCATTTTTTATAATTGATGGACATACATCGTGCAAAGAATTCCGGAGTTAAAATACCCTCCCATTCGGATCTCCGGGAGGAGGGTATACGAGGGGAGTCTACATCAAGTTTAATCATTCTCTAACATCAGAGTTATTAAAGCCAACTTAAAACCCGTGCACCAACATCTTGAGCACAAGAATGCACATATGCTGGTCTTGGTTCTTATGTTCTTACATATGGATAACGTTGGATTTAAACTTAAAATTTAAAACTATTAGCAAAATTCTTCTACAACTTGACATTCGAAAATCTTCTAATCCCGAGGCATCCCACCAATTGTCCTAAAAAAATGCGCACAAGAATTGGCTTCAGTTATTTGCGAACTGTTTTCACTCTCTTATAAACGAGGCGTTTTCTCGCCTATCTGGAAATGTGCCAGAGTTCAGGCCATCCCGAAAAAGGGCAAGAAAACTATTCCTAGCAAATAACGTGTAAAGTTATTTGTCCCTTCTTCTGTCAAATTTACATTTATATAACCCTTTTAATGTTGACAGTCTAGTGACTAGCATTAAAAGTACAGGGCTCCCGCTACTTATAATATTAGCAATTATTGAATTATTACACCAGATGGCACGATTTGCATTTAAATTTGACGTACCGGTTAGTACCAACGTTTTCCGTTGAGAGGAAGCGCTACCTGCTCACCTTGTCCGTTTCAATTTTCTCTCTATCTCAATTGTGCCATCGAGCTGGAAGGTCGATCGGCTGAAAATCGCCATTTTCTCGAGACAACCGTGCCGTGGAAAAATAAGTACCATATCGGCCTCCATGCATTATCTTATCTTAACGAAATAAAGTTGCGTAGGACAATAAGCCGTTGTTCACCGAAAAAATTTGAATCAAAATTCTTGTGATTACCATTTTATTTGAGTTTGAATTGCAACCCCCCTCGTGGTAAGTTTTTTTAAATTTTTTCAAGTAATAGCTTTTCAAGGAAAGCCTCTATTACTTAGGGTCTCCCGAAGAGCCGTTTCTCCCAACAAATCTATTCTCAAAAGGCCACATTTTCAATGAGAACACCATTTCCGTGGAGGGTGGCATAGAGCTTTTGAAGGGATTCCTAGAAGAATTAAGACCCTCACGAGTCGATACGTGTGCCCCACATTTGACGACAACTGAGAACTTCTAGTCTCTTATCTACCTTGATTCTAGGCTAGAATCTAGAATTCCACGTGCAGTTTCCCTCGTCAAATGATCGAAAATGGATGGCTACCGTGCTCTACCTTATGTTGGAATGGAGGCTTGTATAAAGTTTCATTAATAACTTTTAATACCTTTTCTTTTATAAAATCAGTTTTATAGTCAATTAACAAAATTAAGATATTTTTTTTTTTATATGATTTTCATACACCTTTAAAATCTCTTATTCTTGACACCGAGGCGATGGTGGAAAATTAGCTTTCGATTTATCGAATTTATTATGGATTTGTCTTTCCATAACTTTTAATATCGCCATAATTAAATAATGTTCTTATATCTTATCATTTTTATCAATAATAATCGATCAGTAATCTGAACAAACGTTAAGGTTGGACAACATGTTCTAAATTTAAAATTGTTGAGTAAGAGCCTACCGCCGAAAATTGATCAATTTTTAACCCGTGGTCCTATAACTTATATATTGGAGGATTTTCCTTATATCTCCACACCATTTAACTGTTATATAACCCAACTTCTGATTTTTTACAGGTACAAATTGATTTTTTTGAATTTATTTTTTTGCAGAAGCTGGCCAAATTTATCAATACAATTTTTCAATCATTCAATTTTTTTTTAATTAGTTTTCTGGAAACCTAAATTTTTTATATTTACATTTCCTGATGTCCAGCGACTGTTACTGAATTTATATGGCAAGTATATTGAGGTGCATTATTATTATACTATTATTTAATTTTTTTGAGCTTGACGAATCTGATTGAAAGTTAACCTCTTTTATTTGATTTGATCTAAGATGTTTGTTTAATTTCCAATTCGAATTTCAACTTATTTATTTTTATTTTGAGGTAATTTTATAGGCAACCTGTTGCCACGCAAAAATAGCGTTATTCTAAATATTGTTTCCTAATTTTAAGCATCGTTCAAACTTGAAAGATGCTTCCAACAGAAAACTATTTTATTACTCTTTCATTCATTTACCCTCTCTACTGTCTCACTCGCTCCAGAGATATCACCGGCATCCCGCAAGTATCTGCAAGTTGAAGTTTTCACTCTGTCACAGTCAGTGGAAAGGGTAAAGTTAAAGCGCATTAATAAAAATTCATTATTATTGAAACATCTTTTAAAGTTTATCCGTTCTATTTGAACAAATCAATATTATTAATCATTTATTTAATTGATTATTTTCCTTTAAAAACGTAGTAGAAATTACGGTTGAGTTTTTTTGTGAAAAACACGTTTTCGGGAATAAAAACGTGTTTTTCACAAATTAACATTTCTTCATTTTCCTTCCAAGTCTACCTACGAGCTATCGAAGCTTTATGTGCATGCGGAATAATTTTATTGTGTATTCTTGCTCATAAATTTGGTCCTTCGAGCCGGATCGTAGAGACTAAACCAGAATTAAATAATTACCAATTTGTTAACCAGTGAGGTTCTGGTAATTTTCGCGCGCGCCGTCGTTCGTGCCTACGGAACCCCTCAACATAGACCAACCCTGGTGGCGAAGAGTGAGTGAAATGGAAAAGCCCCCTTGCGCGGCCATTTATTGGACTTGTCAATTGAATTCATCGACTGGATTGATTGGATTGGACTCATTGTCAATTTGACAATAAATAATAACACAAGGATCAAGGTCAGATTTTTCCATTATATTTTGTAATGTTGAACTTAACATTTTGCTCCGATTTATTACTTGCATCCAGCAAGAAACTCTCATCAAAACGTTGATAAACGTTTAAATCATTGAATCACAGTAATCACGCGAATTTTTGCAGTTAGCATTTCGCTTTTTTCATGGACTTTGGACATTTTCTACAGTTTTTAGTTTAATTAAAATACCTACATTATTTAAAATATTTTAGTTGACCAGTTTCATTGAAAAATTTAATTTTCACGTCTATAAGACTGTAATTAACTGTAATTAATCATGGACATGGATGTATTGTTGTTAAGAGCTTATGCCGATCGTAAAAATGCCAAAAGTGGCATCACTAGAATAGAAACTTTAATCGAAACAAATGCAGACAATTTATAGCATAAATATGAATACGATACTAGGTTAGAACTCTTAGTTACTTGAAATTTCTTTCAAAAAATTGTGTGAGTCTCAGAGCGTTATTGAGGAAATTGAGACAGATAATGATAAGATTGGCGATCCCAGTGACTAAGAAGCAAAATTTTGTACTGAATTAAAAATTTTGATTAATATGTCTTCTCCTAAAGATAGTGTTTCTGTTCAAGGTACAAGTGTACAAAGTCAGGCAAATTCTTCACAAAATTCTAATGTTAAAACAGAGGTTAAATCTAAGATGCCGGAAATTATCATTGATAAATTTGCAGGTGCTCATCAAAGCTGGAACGGTTTTTATGACATTTTTAAAGCCCTTGTTCTAGATAATAATGCTGAGCTGAAATACAAAAATTGATTTATTTGAAATCAAATTTACTTGGCGAACCTCAAAAATTAATTGCAAATTTACCTTTGATTGCTTCTCATTTACCAGTAGCTATTAATATACTTAAGCAAAGATACGAAAATAAGTTAGCGAATATTTATGTTCACATCAAGAGCCTATTAGACGTTCCATCAATTATTAAAAGCAATTCAATAAATTTGCGCGATTTTGTTGTCACAGTAAGACAGCACACTGAATGTCTAAAAAATTTAAATGTCCCTATTGCAGAGTGGGATTAAATGTTGGTGTATATTTTGTCCCAGAAATTAGACATCAATACTAGACGTGCCTTTGAATTGGAAACGGGTCCTACTCTTCTACCTACCTTGAATGGTTTCCTCAAATTTGTTGAAAAAAGATGTCAGGCTGCTGAAAATTTGATTTCGCCAGAGTTGCCTCGTAAAGCTAATGTCGACAAAAAGTCAAATTGCTTCAAAGAGTTACCACTAAATCAACGAAAACAGTTTGTATTTTCAAATCGATTTTGTTTAAAATGTTTTTTTTAACCATCATGTAAGTCAAAGCGAGTAGAAAAATTGCCCTATTTGCGGCGAGGCTCACAATACCCTGCTGCATGCTGGAAATACTATCAAAAATTCTTCGACTTCTAACAATTCTCAAAATTATTCTAGAAATGTTCAACACAATTCGAATTCAGCTATAATCGTGCACCTACTAATAACAAACAAAAATTTAATCCATGAATAATTCATCAAGCAGTAACCCAAATCAATATCCGAGTCAAGCATCTTCTAACGTAGAACAAAAACCAAATGCAGAAGTTGTTCAAGCTTCCACTAGTAACAATTCTGAGACACAACTTGACACAATGTCAAGCCTTTTTATAAATCAAAAATCTGACATTTTATAAGCAGCTGCATTCGTACCTGTTTCAAATAATAATGGTCATTCAATATCTGCCAGAGCCGTACTTGATAGTGGTTCTCAAGTATCACTAATCACTCATAAATTAGCTAGAAGGTTACAGTATCCTACCTATAATAAAAAGGAGGTACAATTAACATTGAAAATGGTCCCCCGTAAATTTTAACCAAATGTCAATATTT